CTCTATGTCGGACCATAGATCCTTTGGGTTGGAGATGGGTGTTCGGGAACCCATTAGATTTAGGAACCCCCGGGCAACAAACTGGGAACTCTATAGAGAGGAACTTGCTTGGCGCCTAGGGGGCTTACCAAGGAAACACCGCACAATGGAGGAGATTGACGAGGCCGCCGACCGAGTCAGCTCCGCTATGATGCGGGCGTTCGAGAATAGTTGCCCTGAGACAGAGGAGCATAGGGCGGGAAGGACTCCTTGGTGGAGCTCTTCCCTGGAGCGTCTCAGGAGGAAAGTGCGGAGGCTGTTCAATACAGCGAGGAGCGGCAGCCAAGGTGCGGACTGGGATCTCTATAGGGAGGTCCGCAGACAGTACAAAAAAGAACTACGAGCATCACAGAGGAGGGCCTGGAGGGGCTACTGCGACGGAGTAATGAATACCCCGGACGCGGCTAGGCTCCTTAGGGTACTCAGAAGTGACCCTGCGGGAAGACTGGGGGTGGTCCGCAGGACCGGCGGTGGCTACACAACGGGACCAGCGGACACACTACAACAGCTGCTGAACACGCACTTCCCAGGGTCCGCTGATCCGGACACAGGGGGGAATATTGAAGCCGGGGGTCGTCTTGGAGGCGACTACGCCACGGCAAGGAGGGTGGTTACCCATAGTAGGCTGAGGTGGGCTATTGACAGCTTTGGCCCCTTCAAGTCGGCGGGCGGGGATGGAGTTTTTCCGGCTCTGCTGCAAAGGGACGGAGGTCTCCTGACCAGCCCGCTGATGGACCTGTTCAGGGCCTCCATTGCGAGGGGGTACGTGCCCGAGCTGTGGAGACACAGCAGGGTAGTGTTCATTCCCAAGGTAGGGAAGAGTGACTACACAGACCCGAAGTCATACCGGCCTGTTTGCCTCACCAGCTTCATTATGAAGACTCTGGAGAGGCTGGTGGACCGGTATCTGAGGGACTGGGTGGAGCTGGAGGCCCCTTTAGAGCCAGCTCAGCATGCGTACCGAAGTGGCGGGTCTGTGGGCTCAGCTCTTCACCATCTGACTTCCAGGTTGGAGGAGGGTATGGGCTCGGGACGGCTGTCGGTGTGCGTGTTCGCTGACATCGAAGGGGCTTTCAATAACACGGCCCTGTACTCGATCTGCAGGGCGGTGGAGAGTACTGGAGTGGGGACGGCCATTGTAAGGTGGATCCGCTCCATGCTAACCGACAGGAGGGTCGAGGCAAGACTGGGTGGGGAGCAGGTCTCCATCGGTTCATCACGGGGTTGTCCACAGGGCGGGGTCTTGTCCCCGTTCCTGTGGTGCCTGGTGGTGAACGAGATATTGCATATTCTGAGGGAAGAACACGGGGTCTATGCTCAGGCATATGCAGACGACCTTGTGATAATGACGCAGGGGACGGACGTGAGGAGGATGCAGGGGCTCCTGAACGGGGCATTGGCAAGATTCTCACAATGGTGCCTGGACAGCAAGTTGGCTGTCAATCCTAGCAAGGTGGAGATGGTAATCTTCACTAGGAAAAGGAAGATGGAGTGCAACCTCAACATTTCGATGGATGGGGTGCCTCTTTCTGCAAGCGGAAGTGTCAAGTACTTGGGCGTATGGTTGGACTCTAAGTTGACCTTCCAGGAACATATAAGATCAAGGACCAGGTCGGCCTTTGGAGCTCTGTGGGCGTGCCGGAGAGCGGTAGGGGGCACTTGGGGCCTGGGGCCGAAGATCATGCAGTGGATCTACGGTACCATGGTGGTGCCTATGCTCACGCATGGGGCAGTGGCATGGTGGCCGGGGACCAAAAGAGCGGGAGCAAGGCTAGTTCTTGACAGACTGCAGAGATTGGCTTGCCTCTGCATAACGGGCGCCATGAGAACGGCGCCCACGAGGGCCCTGGAGGCTCTGGTGGGGCTGCCCTCTCTGGCGGATCGGGTGCAGATGGAGGCGGCCAGGACAGCTGTGAGGCTGGCGAGCTGCGGGCTCTGGAGGGAGGGAACCCTCAATCGGGGTCCGTACGACATTTTAGAGGGCTGTCGCGGGGATCGCGGGGTCATGGGCATGCCGAGTGACGTCATGATCCCCGAGATGACCTTCTTTGATAAATTGACCTTTCTCTTTCCATCAAGGGAAGATTGGAGAGAGGGCAGAGTCGGCTCCTGGGATGGACTTGTCTGGTACACGGACGGGTCCAGAATGGGAGATCTGGCCGGAGCTGGAGCGTACTGCGAGACAACGGGATCAAGCTTGTCGGTCCCTCTGGGTCAGTACTGCACTGTGTTTCAGGCGGAAATTTTCGCTTTATTGATGGCGGCCAGAGAGGTGCTTCGGCTCAACTACGGAAGCAGGAGAGTCTTCTTCTGCTCGGATAGTAGGGCTGCACTCATGGCGCTGAAGTCAGTGCGTACGCGCTCCTTGTTGATAAAGGAGTGCAAAGGGGTACTGAGGAGGGTGGCTGAGGAGAGAAAGGTCACGTTGGTCTGGGTTCCGGGTCACACCGGTGTCCGGGGCAATGAGGCAGCGGACGCCTTAGCCAGGGAGGGCTCCTCGCATAGGCATATAGGGCCAGAGCCCCGCTTGGGGATCGCCCCGTGTGTGAGGCGGGGAGCTCTCGAAGCCTGGGCAAGAGACCGGGCCGCGGGGGGCTGGAGAGTTGCTCCAGGAATGAGGCAGGCGAGGCTTATGATGGATGGGCCCGCCCTTCCTCGGACCAGGGAGCTGCTTAGACTGACCAGGAGGGAGTGTAGAGCACTAACAGGGGCCTACACAGGACATTGCAGGCTTAGGAGGCATCTCTGCTTGCTAGGCATTGGAGACGACCCGGAGTGTAGGTGGTGCATGGAAGGGGAGGAGACCCCGTATCATCTGCTCACCGAGTGCCCTGCCTTGACATGGGCAAGATTGGGAGTCTTCGGAACGGCCCTGATCGATCCGGACTCAGTGCACGGTATTGGGCTAAAGGAGTTGCTGACCTTCTACAGGAGGGGCGGCATTCTGGACGCCCTCTAGAGCGGCCTGGGGGCACAACGGGCCCATCTGGTGGCCTAAGTGCTTGGACGCCCGCGAGGGCGCCCCCCTTTAATACCAATACCAATACCAATGCCACCGACCTGCCAGAGTGCAACGATTGCGAAAACGTCGTGTCAACGATATGTCGCAACATCCGCAGCCGTCGACCCCGTCAACGTCAGCATAAATTTATTATAAATACTAATTTCTATTGTAAAACGTTGTCTGATAACATTCTCTCATCACGAGGTTATTATGTCCATTTTTAGTTTGATTTTAACGGTCTGATAACATTCTCTCAGCACGAGGTTATTATGTCCATTTTTACTTGTATTTTAACGGTCTAATAACATTCTCTCGTCACGAGGTTATTACGTCCAATTTCATTTTGATTTTTATTTTAATTTAAAGTTAATAAATATATTTTTTTAAAAGTTATTTTTGAAAAGTGAAATATAAAAATTGGCGCAGTCGGTAGGATCTGTTCACGTTGCTAGAACACGAGTATTCTAACTAGTGACGGCGGATTCCAATCCCTTAGACGGAAAGAAGAACCATCGCAGCCCAGTCGTGCCGGAACAAGGAACCTTCCATCACCGTTTCGAGAGGCAAGAATTCGGAGTAGGATCTGTTCACGTTGCTAGAACACGAGTATTCTAACTAGTAGCGGCAGATTCCGACCCCTAAATCTAGGGAACAACGAAAACAGCCCATCGTACCGGAACAAGGATAAACCCATCAACCGTCTCGAAAGGCAGCAATGAAAATAGTACTGTAAGTGTTAAGAATCGTTACGAATAATTTATTTTTAATTTGCAACATTGTTGAATTTATTACGTTCGATTACCCAAGGTTGAAAATTACCTATTTATTGAATTTCCCAACGTAGAATCGTTCCGCGATAATTATTTTGATTAAATTTTAGTCTCCAAGTTTAACTTGGCAATATTTAAAACAAAAAATAATTGTGTTTGAACTTCTTATAAATTTATTTGCTTTTTCTTAAACCTAAAATAATGGCAACTCAATCAGACGAACCTAGTACAATGCTGGAAGTTGAACCATATAAACTTTCGGAAATTTTCTGTATCGTACCTGAATTTGAGGGAGACCAAATCTTTTTAGGAAATTTTATAAACGCGTGTGATTGTGCTTATAATATGGCAACAACGCAACAAAAAATTCTTTTAGTGATTCACATTAAAAATAAGCTCCGCGGTAAATCAGCTCAATTAATTAATTCTAGGAATCCTGATTCATATCTAGAAATAAAGAAACTATTAACTCTACACTTTGGTGATTCTAGAGATTTACCTTCCCTAATTCATGACCTTCAACGTCTTAAACAATTGCCCAATGACTCATCATTAACATTTTTCAATCGTCTTCAAGTCCTAAATGCGAAAATGCATTCATGTGTTCAAAAATCCACCACATTAGGATCCAAAGAGCAAAAGGATGCTCAGATATCTTTAATTGAGACTATGACCCTTAATACACTTCTTACAGGTTTAGAACCTAGATTAGGTCAACTCATTCGTGCTAGTAATCCCACTTCACTTTTAGAAGCCCAAGCAAGAATTCGTCGAGAACTCCAACTCTCATATTTTGAAAATCAAAAATCTGTCAAATTAAATTCTCCTAAATCGCATTCTGCGAATATTCGAACCCCTCTTCAGCAACCCAAATGCACTTGGTGTAATAAAATTGGCCATACTTCAAATCAATGTAGAAGTACGCATCAGCATGTCAAACCAAATTTTTCGCAATATCCACAGCGACCTTCTAATTGGTTCCAACAAAGCAACATTAGCAACAACTCGAATCAAATACCGATGAAATCTTCAAACTCTTATCCTAAGCCACATTTTATGAATCCAAACCCGCAGCGAACTCATCATGTAAACTCAAACCCGATCTACATCGACGGTTATTCCGGAAATTCCCAGGAATTTTCACATGAAAATTACACTTTTCAAGAAGATAATGAACTTCAAAATCATTATTCTAACCATCCAGAAAACTGCGAACCAGAGCAGGATTTTCAAGAAAGCCCTTACGATATCCCACCAGACGAAATGTCTCCAGACCCGATTTTCGAAATCAATTCCCAAATTCAAACCCTGAATTTAGACAACATGAATCCCAATCTAAACTTTCCAGAACAGAACTTCTGTTAAACCCTCTTCTTACGGTAAATTCTAAAAATTTATACTATATTTTTGACGCTACGCAAAAATTCAAAATATTAATAGATACAGGCGCAGGTATTTCTATCTTTAAATATAAAACCGCTGAAAATTACAGAACACGAGTTAAGGAAAATATTACCATCCAAGGTATAACAAATCAAACACTTTTTATTAAAGAATCCACACTTATTCCATTCACCGATAACGACAAACATAAAGTCTATCTTTACGATCTTGATATTGAATTTGACGGAATTCTCGGTTTAGATTTTCTTGATCGCTACCAATGTATAATCGATTTAAAGTCCAAAAAACTTATAACGAATTTCAAAACAATGCCTTTGCATAAAGTAGGACACGAATCTGTTCTTCCCCAAATTTGTAAAAAACCTGAACAAAATATTCAAAATCGAATTTCAATCGAACCTAGGACCGAAAGAATTTTCAAATTAAAATGTAGTTTAACAAACACAGACGCTATTCTCCACTCTCAAGAATGTGAAAAAGTTAGGTTACCTAATGCTTTAGTTAAAGTAAATAACAAAGGTGAATTTTTTACTACTGTTATTAACGCTAATGCAATCCCAAAAACTATAGATTTTTTAAATTTATCTATCGAACCTTTTAATATAAATCCTAACGAAAAAGAAATAAACAATATTTTCAATTTAAATCCTCAACCTGTTGATAGGCGCGGTATAATTCAATCCCAGTTACGCACCGATCATTTAAACGAAGAAGAAAAAGAATTAATAACACAATTATGTCTTGATTTTTCTGATATATTCTATTTAGAAGGAGATCATTTAAGTTTTACTAATGAAATTAAACATACTATTGAAACGAACAACGCCAGACCGATTTTTACCAAATCATATAGGTACCCACATGTCCACAAACAAGAAGTAAAGTCACAAATCAACAAAATGCTCGAACAAGGAATCATTCGACCTTCCACTTCTCCATGGTCTTCCCCTGTTTGGGTTGTCCCAAAAAAATTAGACGCTTCTATGAAACAAAAATGGCGCGTAGTCATCGACTATCGCAAACTAAATGAAGTCTCTGTCGACGATAGATACCCTCTTCCCAATATTTCCGATCTCTTAGACCAGTTAGGCAGATGTCAATATTTCAATACTTTGGACCTAGCCTCTGGGTTTCACCAAATTGAAATTGATCCCAAGGACGTTGCTAAAACTGCATTTTCAGTTGAAAATGGTCATTTTGAATTTCTCCGTTTACCCTTCGGACTAAAAAATTCTCCATCCACTTTCCAACGTGTCATGGACAACATTCTCTTAGGTCTTCAAAACGAACGATGTCTCGTTTACATGGACGATATTATCGTTTATTCCGCTACCATATACGAACATATACAAAGGTTAACTGATGTCTGCAAACGCCTTCGTGGTGCAAACCTCAAACTCCAACCTGACAAGTGTGAATTTCTTCGAAAGGAAGTAGCTTATTTAGGGCATCTTGTGACCCCAGATGGAGTCAAACCCAACCCTGAGAAAATAGACGCTATTCAAAAAATTTCAGAACCAAAATCACCAAAAGACCTTAAATCCTTCCTTGGTTTAGCCGGTTACTACCGACGTTTTATCCCCAATTTCTCTAAGATCTCAAAACCTTTAACTAGACTTCTCCAAAAAGACACACCCTTCGTATTCAATTCAGAATGCAAAAATTCATTTAATGAGCTTAAAAACGCTCTAATACGTGACCCAATACTCATTTATCCAAATTTCGAGGAAACTTTTGTCCTAACCACCGATGCCAGTGCATTTGCCATTGGTGCAGTTCTTTCACAAGGTCCAATTGGAAAAGACCTTCCCATAGCATATGCCTCTAGAACTCTATGTAGTGCAGAGACGAAATATTCAACTATAGAACGGGAACTTCTCGCCATAGTATGGGCAGTTAAACACTTCCGCCCTTATCTGTTCGGAAGAAAATTTACTCTCGTTACTGATCATCGTCCTTTAACTTGGCTATTTTCGATAAATGATCCTGGTAGTCGTTTAGCTCGATGGCGTCTTAAGCTTGAAGAATACGACTATACCATTGTGTATAAGCCCGATAAAATAAATAAAAACGCAGACGCTTTATCCCGTGTTAAAATTAACCATATTCAAGATTGTGTCGATCTCCAAAAGAAAATTTTTATCCTTGCACCTAATAACGATGACATTCACAACCGACCATCCACAAGTAAAGAAGAAATCGTTCACGATGACAATTCTAATAATTCAGATATCGAAGACGACACAGCGGAAGTTACAGAAGAATACAACAACTTCGCATACCTTCATAAAACCACATCCCTTATAGATTATTCCAAAATAGAAACCTCTAATTCGCAACTTCTCGACAAAAACCACAAAGATATTGTCACTTTCTTTTGGCAATCAAAACTTGATGATTTGCATAACAAAATAATGGACGATATTTTTGAAGAAGATATAAATTTTACGTTTAACAAAATTAACATTTTAGACCAATACCATTCAGGAAAAAATAATTTACATCGCGGAATCAACGAAACAGTTAAGCGCATAAAGCAAAAATACAATTGGCCAACCTTGACCAAAGATGTCGAAAACTATATTAGAAAGTGCGAAATATGTCAAAAAGTCAAGATCTATCGTAAAAACCTCAACACACCATTAGTTATCACAGAAACTCCTAAAACTCCTTTTGAGCGCATTAACATCGATATTTTCGAATTCCCAGTTCGTAATTACGCCCTTACCATAAGAGACGAACTCACAAAATTCACCCAGGCATATCCAATAAAACACAAAAAAGCTTCTACAATCGTTACTACCCTTCTTCTCTACTTCCAACATTTTGGAACTCCTCTTAGAATACATTGTGACCATGGCCGGGAATTTGATAAATCCCTCGTCAAAGATCTTTGTCTTTTGTACGATATAAAGTTAACTTTCTCCAGCGTTAGCCACCCACAATCTAATGGATCACTAGAAAGATTCCATGCCACGCTCACAGAAATGATCCGAGCTCATAAAGCCGAAAATCCAAAAGAACACCCCTTTCATGCTCTTCCATACGCAATAATCTGCTACAACAACACAAAGAATAAAACACATGGTTTTTCCCCTTATGAACTAATATTTGGGCACACTTCTAGTAGGCCTCCAGAAATTCTGTATAATGAAAAACAACTCATCACCAAATACATCCGAGACCTAAATAATCGCATGCAGCATTATTACAGAGTCGCGCTTACCCGCACTGATCAACAAAAACAAAAATCCAAAGTAAGATTTGATCAAGCAATCTCTAGAAATATGACTAAATATAATGTAGGAGATAAAGTTTATGTTAAGGAAACTCAAATTAGCGATAAAGCTCAGAATAAATTTAACGGTCCGTATGAAATTCTTGAAGTATTTGAAACTTCAGCCACTGTCAAAAATTTAACTACCGAACAAGTTTCAAAATTCAATTTTGACAAGTTTAAACCTTATTACGATTAGATTAAATTTCTTTCAGGATCTTGGGACTGATCTCTACAGTCGCACCCCAATTCCTCATTACTCCAGTAAATAATACAGTAGGCATCTTCTACCATGAAGAAAGTAGTTTAAGAATATCCAACAACAAATGGACGCTGCTAGTATATAAGAAACTAGAACCTCTGCGAGAAGCCATACGACATAATAATAAAATACTTTCCTCTCTCACAGAAATGTTAGACGATTCTTCTCCTCGGATGACAGTCTTCAAAACAAGTATCCAAACTCATTTTAGTCTTCGAACCAGAATTGCTGACTCAGTCGAAGAAAAATTTTCAGAAATTACTATCGACACTGAAAATTTTAATTTTAGAACTAAACGCGGTTTAATTAACGGTGTAGGAACTATTTTTAAATCAATTACCGGAAACCTAGACTCTGCAGACGGCGAATACTTTAATGAATGCATAGATAAAGTAACTAAAGACGAACACGAAATCGAAAAGCTGTTAAAAAATCAAATATCGGTTACATCATCTGTTATAAAATCTTTTAATTCTACAATTCAAAGTTTCCGAATCGACGAAGAAACTTTCAATCAGGATCTAACTCAAATTCAAAAATCTCTCTATGATATTTCGGACACCGTAGCATTTTACGAAAGTCAAATTAAAACACTTAATCTTTGCGAAAGCCTTATGGAAAGTTATGTATACCTAGAGTCTTACCTCAGCGATATATTAAACGCAATCACGTTCGCACGAATCAAAGTTTTACATAGTTCTATTATTTACCCACGAGATTTAGTCATTTCTCTTCAGGAAATTTCAAAATCCTTGACAAAAAATAATTTACCACTACCACCCTATACTTCGAGCATTGCAAGGTACGTAGATATTATGGAGCTAAAAGCATTTCAAACCGAAAATAAAGTTGTTTTTGTACCAAGAATACCCTTAATTGAGCCTGAAATATACACATTGTATCGTGTTTTACCTATTCCAATTTTGGACAATCGAACACGATTATTTCATATAATTCCATCAACAATAAAATATATTGCGCGTGATGACGATTCTTTACTCTATGTACTACCTGAAGATCTAAAAAGCTGCAAACAAATTCGCGGTAAAGAAAGAATCTGTTTTAACTTAATGCAATATCCCATCGATAGAGAAGCCCTTTGCGAAGCGCAGTTGCTTAGACATTCCGATCGTGTTCCTGTTACATGTCAATCTTCAATCGTCTTGGCCTCCGATTACAATGTTATAGAAATCGACTTTAATTATTGGTTAATTACCGTATCCGAACCACTACCAATCTCCATTAAATGTGGAAAAAGAGACCTCGTAGCCGAAATGTTAAAAACTAATTCTTTACTTAAACTACAAGCAGATTGCAGTGCATTTATTGGAAGCTCCAGAGTACGAGCTAAATACTTTGTCGAAGAATATAAGAACGTGACCTACAAGAGCCACGCCGTGGAGATTCCATATGATTGCTGTTCTCACATTCCAGAGAAGTTTCAACCCCCAGAGTTGAAACCCTTGAAGCTAAGTAAGATCGACACCGACGACCTTAACGTGGCCCAACACAAGCTGCACGAATATTCAGAAAAATTAGAAAACCTACTTCATCAACCAACCCTTCAGAAACATTCTCACTGGCTGACAATTATTTCGATTATTTTAATGACTGTTTTAGTACTTTGCTATTTCGTTTGCAAGTGCCGGAGAAAGAAACCGACAACACTCAGCATCGCCGATGGTAACGATCCCCAACAACCTCCGAAGCCAAGTCGAAGACCCCTGCTCCCGATGCAACTCAAATCACTAACTCCGAAAAGACGGACTAGCATCCACCCAGAAGTAACTACCCGAGAAGCTACGCTTTAATTAGTCTACGAAAAGCTGCAGCTAGGCTCCACCTTTTCACTTAATGGGGGAGCTGTTATATCCGGAAATCCTATTGTCCACATGGGTTAAATGCCACCGACCTGCAAGAGTGCAACGATTGCGAAAACGTCGTGTCAACGATATGTCGCAACATCTGCAGCCGTCGACCCCGTCAACGTCAGCATAAATTTATTATAAATACTAATTTCTATTGTAAAACGTTGTCTGATAACATTCTCTCATCACGAGGTTATTATGTCCATTTTTACTTGTATTTTAACGGTCTAATAACATTCTCTCGTCACGAGGTTATTACGTCCAATTTCATTTTGATTTTTATTTTAATTTAAAGTTAATAAATATATTTTTTAAAAAGTTATTTTTGAAAAGTGAAATATAAAAAAAAAATATATATATATATATATATATATATATATATATATATATATATATATATATATATATATATATATATATATATATATATATATATATATATATATATATATATATATATATATCACTGACATCAAAATCAATTAACCATAATTACAGATTCATGTTGATAACAAGCTTTGGAATAAAATTTGAAAAATTGACTCACAAACGATTGTCATTGAATTTTAAGTCACCTGAAAAAGTGCACTGCAGGATTCGCTAATCCTACTTCGGAATTAGTAGCCTCATGTTCTTCTTCACATGCATATAATACTTCTTCGGCTGCAATCCCTAAACAATTAACGCCTTATTAGACAAAAATTGCATAATAAGCAAATCAGATTTTACCTTGTAAGACCCTATCTAAATGTCCAGTTTCCATCTGCCAAACATAAACAGTTCCATCTGAGCATCCAATTATTATAAAGTCATCTTTAGATCGCCATTTTATTGTTGTCACCGGAAATAAATGTCTCGATGCCAGGCAAACACACTTTCTTTCTGCAAGACTTAAAAGTGTGACAGAATGGTCAGAAGCCACAGAACAAATACATTTCTGAATTCGGGCCTATGAACAAGCATAAGCAAATGTCAAACTTATTTGTATTTAAATGTAATTTACTTACACTACAATCATTAGGAGGTACCAAGAGCTGCGTTATTTCACCAGCATGGACGCAAAATCGGTGTAGAAGAGTGCCGGCACAGAGATCCCACAGGCAAACGGCAAAATCGACACCTCCAGAAACCAAATGGTTACGGTCATAACGTGGATGTTCTCGATGAGGATGTAACAAACAATTAACTCGACCATGGTGTCCCGTTAAAACCTGATGTGACGGCCAATCTAAAAATTTATAAAATGATTGATTTTTTATGCACAAAACAGTTTACTCACTACGATATTGTTGATGGGTACCGTGTAATAATTGTAACATCACAGTTTGTGTGGCAGGAATTATAATAATTGTGCCATCTTCCCTGCCAACTACTAAACGACTTTGCAATGGTAAGTAAATGCTCGCCGTAAGCTTGATTGCTAAAATAATATAAATAACAATCTCAACCAATTAATAACCGCGGAATTCAATAGACAGACAATGTACGGCAAAAATGAATTACAATCTCATTAGGGTCAGATACTCCAAAATTTTTTCATTCGGTCATTGTTTCCTCTCATTGCTATGCAAATCAAAACTAACTTTTTTTGCAATAGGCATAATAAATTATAAACAGACGAATATCCTGAAAGAAATTTCAAATTTTTTTGGAAAGTATGAAGATAGCAAATTTTTTTTTAAATAAATGATTAGAACAATTTTTAGAAAAACTACTAACTTTAAATAAATTCCCTAGATTTAACAATTTAAGACCAGATTGGTTAGTTTTCTGTTAAATAAGGAATCATTTCACAAATAAATTAAGTAGATCAAAACAAGAAATTAGTATTAACAGATAAGGATAAAAAAGTTTGAAAATACCTTAAAAACCATAGTAAGCAATATGAAACCAAACTGATGATCTTAGGACCTTCAATGGCTATGATGCTTAGCTTAGCTTAGTGTTAAAATATTTTTTTATCTATTTTGCGATAATATTGATTGAATTTACTAAGTAATATTTTCTTACATTGGCCTTCTTGTTTTTCTATTTGATCTAATATACCAACTAGATCTGGCTTTACTGAACTCCAAGCTTTTGTCAAACTTGTAAGCAATGTGGCAGAAGAGGTAACAGGCTGTGGTGGGGCTTGCGATCTGATTGCCGCTAACTGCGCAGCAGAAATGTCAGGAATAGCCCATAGGAGGACACTGCCTTGCGAATCTCCTCTTAACAAATAACGTTTACCTTGACCATTTCTATGTGTGGTAACAAGACGCATAGCAGGAGGGCATGATAAAGGCTAAAAAAACAAAATAATAGGTATAAATAACTTAAAATATCGAATTTGGGTTGTAAAAAAAAATATCTTTGTAGGAGTGTAGCACGTCTTCTATTTTTTTATAAAACCTTACCTTTCCATCTGCTTGACTAAGCAAACAGTATAAAAATGGACTGTCATTTTCCACACTCACGGTATGAAAATCTTTATGATCTGGAGTACTGCTAAAAATTTCATTTAAAAAGTTAAATTAAAAAAAATATTGGAAAGAATATTTTATATGAAGATTGCTAGTACTTTTACATAAATAACAATGTAAAAATTACGAGTGTCGCTACAGAAAAGCAAAAACTATTAACAATCTTCATAATAATTATTGATATTATATGGAAATAGTACATAAGCTGCTTGTGAATTAAGAATAAAACATTTGGCATTTCATACATTTTGAGATTAAAAGAATAGGTACAATACAATACACAAACAACAAATCTGAAACAATTTTAGAAAACAAACACAGGCTACCTACATAGTAAAAATATACAGTTGCAGTGCACCTGAAAACCTTAAGTTTCATATGCAAAATTGTACGTTTGGAGTACTACACAAAATTGGTTGCCCTCACCCCCTCAATGCAAATTCAAACTCATGTCACATATGTTCAGAAGAAAACAATCTATCCATATACTCCAGCTAACCAAATAAATTTGAGAAACTGGAGAAGTTTGGTAGAACCGTTAATTATAGGGATTAATATCAATGCATACAAACCAATGCAAAGGTGTGGGGGAAGGGTCTTTACACCCCTGTTGCCCTCAATGAACTCAAATACATTCAGAAGAAAACAACCTATCAGCGCGTTCTAGCTATGCAATTAAATTTGAGAAACTCGAGAAATTTTCTGGAACCTTTAATTATAGGATTAACATCAATACACACACACTAATGCGAAGGTGTTGAAGAAACTGAGGCCAATGCAGTACATATGAGGAACATGTAAAAAAGCCAAAAAATCGCACTAAATAAAAAACAAAACATATAACACCCCAATAGGATATGATAAATTCATTACAAGATTATTCATATTGTATACAACTGACTTGTAATGTTAAGCGCATCACCAGAACAGTAATGCAAAATCGGTCAATGCAATGAAAGAAAGAAAGTGGTATGATAATAATCAAATTCCTTCTAAATATTTCAAAGTGAGATTGTCGGTGATTTCTATCAATAATGAACATGGTCAACAAAATCCTTTGCAACACTCAAGATGTCAAAAGTATAACATTAACAACCAATCTCGCTATGTTCTTTATCAGACATTTTTTATTACAATGTAATACTGCTGTAACTTTTGTTATAGTCCATGAAATAGATTAGCATCCTTTTTGGAAAAATATCTGACCTTAAATAAACTCCCTATATTTAAGAAATTAAGATAGACAGACATGTGCCATTATATAAACCAATGTAAAAAATGTAAGGTTAAAATTATAAGCACCTTCCACCAACAGCAAAAAGGTTTTTAAAAAACACAGAAATATAACATATATGAAAATTAATAGCAGGCTAACCTACTGATACCCTTGCCATGAAGTTTTCTTCAGGTTGCATATGGAAAATTAAAAAAATATATATTATTAGAGCAAGCTAATGAAAGTGTATTAAAAATAAAAGACAAAATGACAGGCTCCTAAAAATCGTCACTATACTGGTAAAAACTTAATTCCGTACATTCAAAATACTACAAGATAGTAAAAAATTAATCAACTTCCTTGTTAGATATTAATTATTTTAAGTAAGTAAGTATGTTTTTAAGTCTTTTTAATCACAAATTTTAATTTTAATTTTTTTTATGGTAATGGTATAGTTTAGTAATATTAATTACAATTTTAAAAAATGTCAAAAAGTGTATATAAATTTATCAAATATACTATATTAACTCAATGAATTTAAAAATGCTTCTTACTTGGCAGGTAATTTATACAAATAACCTTTTCCAGCATCGGACCACATAATGATCCTATCAACTGCTAAAAAATCACCTGACATCCATCTTTCACCTCTAGGTGCCAAATACGAGCACAAAACGCTGAAATCTCCTAAAACAATAAATAAAGATATACAGTATTAGCATTTTTTTCACTTAAAAATATACTCATTAAAAAGAACAAAACGGAGCGGTCTCAAAGACCCTTTAATTTTAATTTTTAATGAAAACTCCCCCTAATACATTTTTTCAAAGAATTTACATTAATTAAAAAGTTTCAATAAAAAAAGTCTAAGATGAAGTTATAAAGGTGAAGTAGTATGATGCTATGGAATAAATACAAATTGTTCTGAAATTAGACATCAATATTTTATCACTACGCATTAAAATAAAGATACAAATTCTTACAAACCGGGGTACATAATTTCTTCATTTTTGAAACACCATAAGACTTAATTAATAAATTGCCTTTCAAAAATGTTTGTCTGTTAATGTGAATTGTCGAATTCAGCTATAGTAATTTCTAAATTTACAATAACTAAAAAGTATTCCACCAAAAAATCTCTAGTTACATTTTAGAGTGAATATTCATAAAATCCATAAACTATTATAGGCTGCCAGATTCAGTAACAACAGACCATGACAAATCAAATTACATAAGCTTTGTTTTCGTTTCATTCTAGAGTGGTTCTATGAAATTTGAGGATGTGGGAATAGTAGGATTTTTACACTTTTCCAAATATTTTACGTTCATATAATAAACACACAATTCACAAGTTAAAAGGGAACTTACCGGCATCATATATTTGCCAATATTTGGTACAAACAACTAACACAGTCCTTTGATTGTAGGCGCAACACTGTAAGCAAACTGCATTTAACGTCCTTAT